CATTCACGAAAGAAATGCAAAAAGCTAATTGTTCAATGGGGGAAAAAGAAAGAAAAGAAAACCCTCTTTAACCTTATTAGCAATTTAAAAATTCTCCCTCAATCAGGGAGAGTTTTCTTCAGTGAACTAACATTGGAAGGAATGATCGAGAAAAGGCTTGGCAAAATTAAGGGCTCCTCAGGGCTTGGGGAAAGGAGCCTGCCAGTTCTTGGTGGAGTGCACGGGGGTCTGTGTGAGAACACGGTAGCTACCCAAGTGAACGGTGCCCCTGAAACGTGCCTTCAAATGACAAAGAGTCAGAACTGTGTGAGTCCAAGGAGGCATACCGATTCCGGGGCGATATGATCGCACTTACGATTGATTACTTATGCTTCTGTTTCTATATGCACACACAGATTTGTAGGCTACTCATCAGTGTCTGTCTCTGGGAGTTGATGCTTACACCTTATTTCATAGACTTGCTCTTTTTAAAAAAGGAGTTCCCGTAGGTCTTCGTAGGGAGAGGGTGAGGGTGGAGGTCGGGGTTGTGACAAAAGTGGGAGGCCTTTGAAGTGTCAAAGCAAGCTCGCACACTGAAGTCCTGTGATCAGAAGGTCCCTGCGTGACAATGTGCCAAGACCTCACAGACGCACCGACCTCCGATCTTCTCCGCCCTAATGTGGGATTAGACTGTGCCCCCTCTGAACGCGATCATTAAAGAATTCCTTTGGGGGAGAGGCTTGAATTCATTGAGCCAACCACAGGGACCCCGTCATGCTTTCCTCGGCCGCCCTCTGGTGACTCTTCTGAAAATAGCAGACGTCCTTGGACAGTTGGCGATGAAGGACCCTCCGGCCCCGACTGAAAGGGCAAAGTCCACTACGATGCGGTCTCTGGCACAGACCCAGAGGGCCCCCAGGAGGAGGATAACCCCTAAGCTACGTTTTCTTTATTTGAGGACCGACAGGGCAGCATGTCTTTCTGTTGTACAGCGGGTCACTGGCTCCATGGTGCCTAACAACATTTGCCTAGGGATTTCCTTCATGTTAGATTAAGGGTGTCAGTCAGCCATCGCTCTCTGGAGAAACAGATCTATGTAACATTAATCATCACCCTGGGTTGAACCAGGAAAATATCCTTTTCCTCCATACCTGATTTGCAGTCTAAATCCCTTCTGACCCGTGCAACTGCGTTCAGACTGCAGGTGCGGAGTTAATCCTCGAACTTGCGCGACAAAAGAACGCGATCGCTGGGATCCTTGCGGCCGAAGTCTTGGGAGCACGTGCGTCTCCAGGGGAAGATGGCGTCCAAAGGCA